GCTCTTGCATTCAGTTCCCGTCGGAAAGATGGTGGTTCTTGATCTATACGCCGAAGTCAAACCAGTTTGGGCTACTTCCCAACAGTTTTACGGCATACCTTACATCTGGTACACTTTCCATCTTCTTGTTTTTCGTATGACTATATTATTTATAATCTTTCTTTTTTCTTTTGTTATAATTCTTTAGAATTCACTCTGTTTTTTCAGGTGTATGCTACATAACTTTGCTGGAAATATCGAAATGTACGGCATTGTCGATTCCGTTGGATCCGGGCCGGTAGATGCTCGTCTTAGTACAAATTCAACCATGGCAAGTCTGTTATATCAAAGTCGCAAATTTTTTTTTTTTTTTGTGTCACTAATCATCCTTATCTTACACGATATCGTTTATGCCAGGTTGGCGTTGGGATGTCGATGGAAGGTATAGAGCAGAATCCAATCGTTTACGATCTTATGTCTGAAATGTCTTTTCGAGAGGACAAAGTTGACATTAAGGTAATCCGAGGTTGCATTTGTACATAAAGATTTCAATCCATAACACTTGTTTAAATGGATTTTAAATCCTTAAAATCTCATAATCGAATTATTTAGCATCACTAAAATGTAAATATATTTTTTATTTTGTTTTCCTTTAGACATGGATTAATACATACGCACAGAGACGATACGGAAGATTGGTACCATATATACAAGAAGCCTGGAACATATTATATCGTACACTATACAATTGCACAGACGGACTAAACGTAAGTTATAATTAAACATTGCTACTCTAATCATGCAATCGACATCACTAAACCCTTCAAATTTTTTTTTTTTTTCGATCTTGTTTTTTTTTTGAGCAGGACAAAAACAGAGACGTGATCATGTATTTTCCGGACGTTGATCCAAATTCGATTCTCACTTCACCTCTGCTATTGTCACCCGCAAAGCATCACAGCTATAGTAATCACCAAAGTCTTAGAAGAACTATTTACGAACTTAGAAGCGATTCGTATACTCACCCTCATTTATGGTACTCGACTTCAGAAGTAATACGAGCACTAAAACTCTTCATAGCGAGTGGGGATTATCTCTCGGACAGTAACACTTACAAGTTAGCTCTTCTTCCCCTTATTCGTACATATATATTAAGAAAATTAAACAAAAATAAAAAATGCATGTATTTTTAGGGGAAAATTACATAACGTGACTAAAATACCCTTCCTAGAAACATAATGTGACAGTTAATTTGAAATGGAGGGAGTGAATTTTTTTTTTTCAAGAATTCTTTTTGTTTACGGAATTGATTTTTTATTGGTGATTTTAAGGTACGATCTTGTGGATTTAACGAGACAAGTTTTGGCGAAATACGCGAATCAATTATTCTTTAAGGTTGTGGAAGCTTATCAACTAGGTGATCTAAGTCTAGTGAAGCAGCTCAGCGAGAAATTCCTCGGTCTTGTGGAAGATCTCGACTCGCTTTTGGGTTGCCATGAGGGATTTCTACTAGGGCCTTGGCTGGAGAGTGCAAAGGAACTTGCTCAAAATGAAGAACAGAAAAAACAGGTTCGATTAATCGTCCAAAATTTCGAAAAAAACTCAATTTTCGAGTCATAATACATTAATGTGAATTGCTGCCTCTTCAGACTTTTTTGTT